GGCTCCAAAAGTTCTTCTTTCTTTTGAATTCCACATTTCCCCAGTGAGCTTTGTGTGGGCTGAGTGCATGGCTTGTGGGTGTGGGGATGTTGATGCTGCTGCTGCTGCTGTGCCATTTGTGCTTGATTATTTTTGCATGCAACTGCCAACTGAGTTCCGGGGCACCTGCTCCTGACCAAGAGATGTCACCCCGCCGCCACTGCCCTTTGTCTATATTTTTCGTATTTTCATGAGAGGTATTTGTGTTGGCTGCGGCCATTTGCAGGCAATCTATTTGAAGTGCTCGGCTCTTATGCCGAATTCGCGCTGCATATCTTGGGGCGCTTAACCATCAGCACCTTGACACATTTTAGCCCTACGGAAGCTGGTAATGGGCCACCAGATTAACCTTGAACCGACCAGGCCACAGAACACTTAACGCCCATCGATTGACAGACATTAAGGGCTTCTCTTTTTTCTCTTTGGAGTGAACATCATGGGGTACACAGAAACAGAGAAACAGACAACAAAACATTTGTAATTAAGAAAGTTTTCAGCTGAAAAGCTCTTAAATGAAATTTTAATTTATTTCTAAAATGCTGCCATCACCAATAGTCAAGGGGGAACCAGGCGAAAAGGAGCTGAGCCAACGGGAAAAAAGGAAAATAGGAAAACACAAAAACAAAAACAGCCAAGGCAGCTTGAAAAGTTTTCCTAAGTGACAGGGACAAACGCAGAAAGGGAGAAAGGGACACGCCTGACTGACAGACAGACAGTTGTCGCTAGAGAAATTATCTGAGAGCCAGCAAGGAGCAAAGAGCAAGAAGCATAAAACAAGGAACAAGCAAGAGTTGAAGGAGCCGGAAAACCTATTAATATTTAACCTTATCGCAGTCATTTCCACGGCATCAAGCCGGAAGTCTCAATGCGGCCAAGAAACCATTGCGGCCAATCTGTGTGTGCAATTGCCAGGGGCAACAACAATAACGTCTCGCAGGACAACAATTGGTAGCGTTTTAAAAAGCGCCTCCAGGACACGCCGGCCACATTATGGCGTCCCATGAAACGCTTAAGCCATCAACACAATGTTAGGTAATTAACCCGGCTAAATACGATACGACGGCCAAATTATTCCAGGATCCGACTAAGACGGAACGTGTGCTCCCTTAATGTCCTCCTATTCCTAGCAGTTCGGCTTCCTCTGGGGGCGGGAGCACCTGATAATAGCCCCCTGAATTCCAGTCCTAGATCTACGTATTTATCTCGCCCCCTCTCCCATGGCAAAGTCAGTCTACTCAAACCAGTGTACGTGTTAAAAATTGATTTGAAATGTAGAGCAAATGATGTATAAATGATAAGATGTAATGTGGAAGTTATGCAAATATTCAATGCAATTAACGGGCAATGTGATTACGCCTTTTTATGGAAAATTTGAGCTGCTGCCGTCCAGTTAGGGAAAATATTTCGTTCTCAAATAATAATATTTTTCCAATAACAGAAATACAAAATTCCGAAATTGTTCTCCCAAATGAATATTTATTTTTAGATAAATATTTTTTGTTTTAAAAATATGTTTCACTGTACATTGGCATTCCTGTACAATGATTGATATTTCTTATCGAAGGCTGTTATCGTGATTAAAATGTTGCAAGCCTTCAGAGCCATTAACAACTGTGCAGCATTCTTATCAGCCACAGGATGCACCCCCTCACCCCCACACACACATACACAGCAAGTAACCCACAAAGGACTCACAAAGAGAGACAGCGCTAAAGAGAAAGTGCGAATGTGTGTTTGTGTTTGTGGTAACGTGGTGTAAGCCCAGAGAAGAGACAAAAGAGAAATGTGTGGTTTCTGTGTGTGTGGTGCTGATTTCCACAAAAATGAGAGACGGTAAACAACGGACTCTTGGCTTTGGCTCCTGGCTGATGGTGATGGCTTTGGCTGCCGTCTGTGGGCGCTCAGCTCGGAATTCTCTCGAGAAGACGTATACGAAGACCGAAAATCACCCATTATCCATTTTTATTTTATCATCAATTTTATTACACCCAAAGTAAAGAGGCGCAGCCGAGCAGCAAGTTGATGATGTACCAGGCTATCAACATCAATGAAAAACGACAGCAACAACAGCAAGGAGCGAAAGCTGAGAGAAAGCGTCACACACACACAGGCACACACGCAAAGAGAGATGCTGAGAGGCGAGGATACAAAACACACGCCCTTTTGGTAGGAAAAGCCAAAAACTGAACGGAAACCGAAACTGAAACGGAAACTGAAACGCTCGATTGACGACTTAGTGGCTATGCTAATGCTAATTGCAGTCGTACTCACTTAGGGCTGCATCTGTGGCTCCTTATCCTTATCCTTATCCGTATGCGTATCCTTTTAGGCTTGCTTTAAGTATGTGTATATATCCTGATCCTGTGACCGGGGCGAGGAATGTTTGTTGCTGAACACTTTCGTTTGCTTTGTATTATATTTGTATTATCATTTGGTTGTAAACTTTTGGTCTTGCACTTGGTTTCTCCACTTCTCAGCTTGGCATTTCACTCACTCAAAACACTTTCCTGCTGAAATCAAAGGATGCTTTTAAGACGGTCCACTATGATATGCTTCCACGGATCTCGAACTCCTCGCACGGGTGGCAGTCGGGCAACTAAACGCAAATCACCTCATCTGCTTACGGGCCATAAAATAAATGTCTTACGAGTGCGCCGCAATTGACCGAGCAATAAACTCAATTTGCATTGAGCTCTCTGCATTTGTATGGGTGCGGGTGATTGTGCCGTCTTGCGCTTGATTGAATCAACGGCAAACAAGTGAACAGATTTGGATTCTGTTTAGCTCGGACACTTTAACTACATAGTATGGAGTACACAGTCGCACTGGGTTAGTGCGCTTAAGTGGGCCTGAGGAGCCTATTTGAGCTATTTGCCTCCATTTGGCACTTATTCAATTGAGGCGTTTTGGGGACATTTCGAAGATGCTAAGTTGCGAAGATGCGCCACCAGGAGAGAGTAATTATGTCCGGCAATCTCGCCCAGGAAAACACAAGTGTCCACCTAACGACAAAGACCTTCAAGGGCTGCTAAGTAGGTCGTCTTATTTGGTGGGTCTATATGCTTTAGCTATACTTGGAACAGAAAGTATATTTTATGCGTATTTTTTAGTTTACATGTTTCCCCTTTTGAGCTTTTGGGAACAAAACTAACTGATTTTATTATTGAGCGCTTGAAATTGAATTTTAATAATGTTATTTCATATAATCAGCTTCAATTTAAGTTAAACAAAAGTATTAGGCTTCGCTTCAAATAATTTTCACCAATGATTGCATAGTTACAACTTAAAAAACTTTTAAAAATCCTTAAAAAATTCTACAAATCTGGCCCCTTTGTATTTCCCTTCCTTTGATTTTCAATTATATTTTTCGCTTTTCTTTGTCTGTTGTTGTGGTTGCTCTTTCTTGCTTTTTCCCATTTTCACGCTTCTTCTTGCTTGTGCTCTTGTTGTTGTTGATAAATTCGGATTTTTTGGGAGCGGCTCATTTGCTTTTCTCTTAAACTTTTCCTTTTTTTCTCGCGTGGAAAAACATTTTTGGCAGACTTAATGTGGGAAATGTACGAAAATTTCATGCTTACTAGCAACAAATGCAGGCATACAAAAAAAGGAGCATTATGTGTAGGATTGATTTTTCTGTAAAAAGGTTTTCTTTTACAGGATTGATTTTTATGTAGAAAGGTTTTCTTTTACGTGTTTTTCTGAGGCAATTGATGACGCGAAGTAAACATTTGATGATGAAGTGGTTATATTTTTAAATGGAATCAAAATGTTGCTCTGTTTTTGGACTTTCTTGTAGGTGTTTTTTTGTTCACAATTCGAATTTCATTTAGTTTTCCTTGAAAAATGCTTGGAAAATGCTTGCAAAATGGCACACTGACCACATATAAACACTGGCACGCACCCACACATACACACTCGCACACACACACACACACACGGGGATTACAAGTTGGCAGAGCGGTGGCACCGAAGTCGGCAGCGGCATCGACTGCCAACAATTTCCATTTGCCTATTCCGCTTTGCCACTTTGTTGTTGTTGTTACTTAGACAGAGGACGTGGTGTGTTGTTGTTGCCAGGATTCCATCGTTCAGGACCATTTACCGAGCCAAGTTTCCTTTGAGCCGCCGTCGCTCTCGAGTCGCAAATTCACACTGAGCCGGAGTTTTGGCTTCGGTTTCGGATGCAGGATGCTCGGATGCTGCTGGCTGTGCTGCCTTGGTCCTCTGCCGCCGCGGCCAAGGACTCTGGCGCATGCTGTCGGCGCAGAAACCATCGCCCCAATTCTCTTCGCCTTCGTCGTTTTAAGGGAGCCGGAAGAGCACGAATTAACTGAAGAGCGGAAGCGCGTGGTGGATTAAGCACTTGAAAACCGTGGCGCCCGCACTTCAGCAGATGCGTTGCAAATGCACATTACGCCCACTTGTAATTAGCGTGCTTAATGCACATAAAGCATCCGCTTGTAGGCGGAAATAGGGAAGGAACTCCTTCTGCCAAATCTGGCGATACTGTAAGTCGCCTCGAGTGTTGTAGCGATCAGTAATTGCCTGACATCGATCAGCTGTCACTAAATGGCAATCAGACAATGAGCTGGCTGTAGAAAAAATACATCGGTAAACAAAAAACCGCGTGATTTTAAAAAATAAATAAATAAACTCATTTTCTTACCCTGAGAAAAATGTTCGATTAACTTTAGAAATAGTTAAGCCTATATAAATAATGTATGTGATTTGTTCATATTTTAAGAAAGTATCTAAATATGTTTTTATATATTATCTTAGAACTGTTTAACATGTTAGAATATTCTTTTTTTGTTTATATATTGTTAATATAAGTTTTAGCATAGTGCATGAACACAAATGAACCGTTTCAAAAGTATATTTCCACATTTAAATATATTATTACAAATTATTAAAAACTATCGCATTCGCTTCGTGCATTGTCCATTTCTAAGTGTGACCCTTGCGATATACCGATTGTACGGGCTATCGATATCTCCGGCGCGGCAGCGACGCAGCAGAGAAAACTCGTTGTTGCCTTTCGTTTCACTAATTTTATATAACTTTTGGAGTGACAACACGGCCGACACATAAACAAAACGTAAATCCTAGCTTGTGAATATTTAGGTACACTCTTTCCACACCTGCAACGCGGCCTGCAGTTTTAAATTCACCGTGTTTAAATATCAAGGTATTCCAGACGGTAAACAAACAACAACGATAGCAGCTGGCGCAACAACAACAACCTGTAAGACCTTGACGGGATTTTTTCGGATTTATATTGCGCCACACAGGCAATCTAATCTGAATTATTCCACCAGGTGCGCTCCTGATTAACATTTCTGGTCGAATATTTTCAATTAGCAAGTCGGTAGCATCATGTCGATCAGAAGAACTATGTCCACAACAGCCTCGAAAGAGTGGCGGGATTACTTTATGAGGTTTGTTTGGTGGTTATCAGTTGACCATATATGGCATATTGTAAATATTCCTTTTTATATCCGCAGTACCCACTTTTGGGGCCCTGTGGCGAACTGGGGCATCCCGGTGGCTGCTCTCGCCGACACACAAAAGAGCCCAAAATTCATCTCCGGCAAAATGACATTGGGTAAGGATATCCCTTGCGTTTTGTCCTCCTTCTGGCACCCAGACACGCGCAACTGGCATCGAAAGATCCCGCTCAAGATGTCGTAATCAGAGCAGCTGTGATATGTTCTAAAGAAATCACTCTATATTGCCTGATAAGACAGATACGGAAATTGTCGAAACGTCTACCGATAAGATTGCACAGAGAACAAATTAAGCTAAATTTGGTCAGCATTTTACTCCTTAATCTGAGTTTTTTTTGCATTCCATCGGTTTAATATGCCCCCGAGGCAATAAGCACATAGAGACATGGAAATTATAGCAAATTAAGCATATATTTTGTTCTGTGCCTAGATAAATATGTCCCCCAGAAATGCTAATCCCTGATGTTTTCCAGCTCTGACCCTGTACTCGTGCATATTCATGCGATTTGCCTACAAGGTCCAGCCCAGGAATTGGCTGCTCTTTGCCTGCCACGCCACCAATGCCACCGCCCAATCGATCCAGGGACTTCGCTTCCTCCACTACAATTACGGGTCTAAGGAGCAGCAGGCGTAAAACCTTTCCCTGAAATCCACTTCCATGAGAACGACGCGCGAAGCCACCTCAAATGTTTACCCAACAGCAGCAGCTATAACAATTTACTGCCACCACACGCAACAAACATCTAGCAAATTGCACTGCCGCAATCCCCTTCAAATCAAATCCAAGTGGTGGAGTAATTGCCGTGAATCACACCCGCACAATTGGCTGAATCTCGAATCGTGTTGTCGTGCCCCACTCGCCGTTTTCGCTGGGGTCAAATCCCAAATCCAATTGAGTCTACCCCAAACTTGTTACTTTGCCTATTAGTTAATTCCGTTAGGCAGTTGATCAAAATTTTAAGTCGGTGCAATTCTTAGTTTACGATCAAAGCATGCTCTATGAATATGGTTTAAAATCTAACAAAATTGTAAAATTGAATTAGAATTAGAATTCCTGTAAACACTTCCAGCAATTTTGTTGTAGAATCCCAAAAAATGAGGAACGTAGTAAAATCTTCAAAAATATATGAAGTTTCTTGACTTTATCATGTTTATGGAAACATGGTCTTTATTCAAACAATTACGGTTATATACGTTGATATCTGTAAAATATACATATCAATTGTTCTTAACAATAGCATATTTTTTTGTTGACATTTTTAAAACTTTTTTGTTCATCAATGGGGTTAAAGCATACAAACGCGTAATCATATTTTTTTGTGTGCTTTTTGTTGATTTTCATTACGCTTAGGAAGAAAAACATATATGCGGATACAAAAACATAATAAAAGTAAAATTAAAGTTAAACACGCCTCGCGCACCTCGGGCGCCATCACTATGCCTAATAAGTGGCTTACATGATTTAAGTTTGACATCATTTCGTGCGAAACTGATGTCCAGATGGAAATTTGATTTCTGCTTCTCAACCTTTTCAACGACAACTTAAGTTACTAAACAAATGGATGACGACGAGGAGTACTATGACTAAGGCTTATGCTCCGCACTAAACGTCAATCTTAGGTCACAACAGTAGGTCTATCTATTTTATGGCTACGAGAATCTCCGTGCTACTCCTGCTCAGCGAAAGTGCTATCCTTCCGCATGCGCAGCATCAGGAAATTCTTGAACTTGCGTTCCTTGGATGCCACTTCATCGGCCAGCGTACGCAGTCGCAGATTCTCTGCCACCAGCTCGTCCTCGACGCTCTTCTCCTCCTCCTCACGCTTCTTCGTCTTCCGGCGCGATACGCGGCTTGCCTCATTGTTCTTGATTCTGTCCTGGTAGGCCTTCTTCTCCTCGCTGGTCATGCCGGACATGAGCTCGGGATCGGGACCGTCGGCATGGTCCTTGGCAGGGCGACCGCGCTTCCGCTTGCCGCTGATTCCACCGGATGGCGAAGGGCTGAACGCGGAGGTACTGGCTACTGAATAGGCGGGCGATTGGGGAGCAGTGAGGAATCCACCAAATCCGGTCTGGCAGGTGGGCGCCGCACAGCTGGAGCTGGCTGAGTAGTTACTGTGTGGTGTGTTTGGAGGCGAGAAGTCGGTGGTAGTCTCCTCATCGGCACTGTGTCGATCCTCTACAATGTCTGGACGGAAGATGATGATGCTGCTGTTGGAGGTGTTGCTGGTGCTGGTACTCGCGGTGCGAGCCTCGAGCTGCAACTTGAAGAGAACAAGTAAGTCAGAGAGTGCTGGGAATTTCGGCTTCCTAAGAGCTGACAGCTCTTCGGTACATAATTTAATCTGCTTTTTACAGATACTTACCGTATAACGATCCAGGCACTCGATAACTTCTGGCGTGGTTAGGGTGACTGCTGGCGTTACCTCAGTGTTGATTTTGAGCTCAGGTCGTCTGCGCTTGTTGGACTGCGCCTCGAGCACGGGGGCCGGAGCAGATCGCTTGAGGTTGGTAAGGATGGGGTGTTGGATGGAGGCTGGGATGGCCACGGCGACGTCTGAACCGCCACTGCTGGCAAAGCTGCCGCTGGGCTTGACATCCTCCTCAAGGCCGAGCGACTCCTGGCTGTAGCCAACGATACTGCTGTTTTCTAAGTTGTCGGAGATCATCGGCTCCTCCGAGATGTATTTGGTGGTGCTGAATGTAAATAAGGACTGCGGGCATTGGGACAGAAAGGGGTCGTTTGAACCGGTGAGCATGGCCGTCCGCTGCAAGCTGGGGAGTATGCTGATGAGTTCCTGATCCTGCTCCAGGTTGATGTCGATGCCGCTGCCGAACATCGATGTCATGTCGAAAGTCTCCTCCTCGTTAGGCAAGTCATCCAATGGTAGAAGGTCGTTGTTTAGGTTGTCGTTGTTCATCTCGTCCATGGCCGGACTGTAGGGTTCCGTCTTCTTGCCCTCAGACTCAGTCGGATAAGGATCCGAAAGCGGGGCAAACATGTTTATATCAAAGTCAAAATTATCCATCTCAGTAAGAATCTCCGTTCCGTTTTTGCTGCTGCACGTTGATGACGTTGCTTCTATTTCTTGCAGGTATTCTGTAGTAAACAAATTCATTTATTAGTACAAGTCATTTCAAATTGAGGCAGATCGTGCTATATGGATGCGCGTAAATTTAATTTAGTCGTAGGTACCCAATTTTTGTTATTAGGCGAAAGGGGTGATGTATTAGTTAATTGTTGATTGCAAAAAATTATTTTAAATATGTATATGTACATATTTAATTATTAATGACTCATCTGATTTAAAGTTACAACGAGAACGTCAAGTAGATATATATCTACGTAATATATATTCTACGTAGTGTCACTTTCAAGTTCCCATTTTAATCCGCACTACTACGTCATGGCGGCGCTACTGTGTTATTTTACGCGACCCATACATTCTACACGCTGTATTGTACAAAACGAGTGAGCATTTCGTTCGCGCTCGCTCGCCGTTTGTTGTGAAATTAGTCAATGTGAAAGAAAAAAACGAAATAAAACAATTGGAAATAAAAATTGAAAACAAGAAAATCAAAAAGTGCAGAAAGGGTTATATCAAATCTTATGTTAATTGTTTATCTGTGCAAACTAACAACAACAAAACGTGTCAACTAAATAAAATATAAATATGTACGCATTTGTTTGAGTATAACCAAAGAGTATAAAATTATTAATCCATTACGTCTTCCGCCAATTGTGACGATTTAAATTTGGCCAACAGTCCTCTAGTATTATTTCTCTTCCCCGTCGCACACACACATTCAAGAGACATATCTGCCGGCATTGCGCGACAACAACCACACGAAAATCGGACATGATCGTTCCTGCGCGCCTTTTCTGTGTGTGCGCGTGCCTGTGTGTTTGCCAAGTTAGCTGATGGCTTTGGAAAAACTCATTACTTTCAAGAACAAAAACATAATTTCGGAGAAAATAACTGGCATGTATGTAAATCTAAAAATGAGAAATGCGAAAACAAAACAAAAACAATGGTTAAATGTGGGGCGATCGCCTAGAATTGTAAACTAATCGCAATTCCATTTTCAATGAAATGAATGAAATCTATTATTAATTAAAAGTTCCTTAAAATATTCACCTTTTATGCGTTTCTATGTTGTTATGTTATGCGTATGTTTGCCTAAAGTGTTATTTCGGTTCAGATTCACCCGCAATACAAAACACTTCTGCACACTGCAACGATTAAACACGAAATGATTATCGTTGAGGCTCAAATATGTTTTCTCAAAGAGCGAGAGAGAGAGAGCGAGAGAGAGCGCGATAGAAAGGTAGCTGTCGGCGCAACAAGTTAGCAAGCCATCCCGCTCGCACCCTCAGCAAGTTCAGTGCCAAGGTGGAGCGATATTTGCCTTCTTGCTCTTTTTGCCGGCGACGACGCAGGGTTCTTCTGCCAATTACATGTGTAGATTTTTGACCGGCCTAGGAGCTGTCCAAATCAAAGTTAACCGTTCGGAGTGTGTTTATTTGCACCAATACAATTGTCCCTAGAATTTCACCAGAGCGAGGAATATACATATGTAATATTGCCATTTATGGAAGTGCCTTTGCAAAAAAGAACTGCGTTTCCCGAGAAGAAGTGAACCAACCGACCCTAAGTTATTTAGAAGATCACCAAAGTGGAAAAATCGTATTTTCTTCTAAAAATATCAGTAAAAATTGCCAAAACAATCTGTAAAATTGTTTTAAAACACCAATTTCAAAATAACTAAATGAATTAAATATTCCTTAAGTTGCAACAGTGCGTATACGCAATGCATTTTGCCGAAAGCACACACACATTCATGTACACAGGGAATGAAAGCCGCTCAGTCTGTATATGTGAGATATGCCGCTTGGACACTATAGCTATCTCTTTCGCTAGAGAGCGTGAGTGAGCGAGGTCACACACCCACACAAGCAGATGTCTGTGTTTCTCACAAACTAATGCTCGCTCTCAATTTTCTCCGATCATTCTTATTGTATTTGACAATAAATATTGAATAAGCCCAAAAGGGACAGTACATTGAAGGGGAATAGGTTATTTATATTAAATTAAGCATTAAATTACCCCTAACTACATATGTAAATACTCTGAAAAGTATTATCATTTTGACTAGTTATCGAGGGAATAGTGAGTAAATAGAAAAATTAAATTAGCCGGCTAGAAACACGTGCAACAAGAATTTGGGTCATGAATCAGCTGCTGTACTCTCTCGATTCTGACGTCACACGCCCGGCGAGCCTCTTTGTTTGATTGAAAGAGAATTCCTATGGAAAATGATGAAATATTTCATTTGAATATATCAAAAAGCAATCCCTGCATGGAAAAAGAGAAAAACCTGTTGTAGACTAAGGGATTACCGGAGTACGTGATTTAATGTTTGTACTGCGATTTTCATGAATTTGAGACATAATAGCTTTAAAAAGGTGATATTTATTCGTAATCCAGAAGCAAAGTAAAAACTGAACTCTCTTTGCAGAATATAAATCAGCCAGCTCATCGGTGATGAGCATTTGCAATTCACTCGCAAACGGATGGCAATTATACATATGTATTGAAATAATTGGTGGTATGATTATAACTTTGTTTCTGATTGGGTAATTCAATCGGATGACCTATACATATTAGCGAATTGTATATCAGTAGTCGTTCATGAAAGATACACACTATCCAGAAGTTTCTATTTGGCTTATCGCTTTTATTCGCACTCGGGTGCTGAAGTTCAGAAAACCAAAACGGATTCTTAATTGCGGAATTAGTTGAGGGGTGGTGTCATTCATATGATTCATCTCAACCTGCATTGATAAGAGCTTGTAACAAAGGAAATAGAACCTAAAATCGCAGTCTTAGTCGCTATGCAAAAATGCATTGATGGCTAAATATAAAACTCGAAACGAAAAGATCTTCGTTCTGGAAAAGTGAATCAATACGCGAATTTTAAAAAGAAAAGTCTCATATTTTGTTATAAAATGCCTCTCCAAGGCCAACGATCAAAAAATCGTTATTCAATTTAGGTGTGGAACAAACGAAAAATTTGATAAATGAGTGGAAATCTATGAGAAGTTTGGCAATTAACTTACATATACATATGTATATGTGTATGTAGGCATTTTACATTACACCGATAAATTTAATTTAAATGGTTGAAACGGCAATATTTAATTTGTATATTTTGAAACAATAATTCGGTATGAACTTGCAAATTTTTTGCCAAATCGATAGAAATTTATAAGACTAATATAAAATTGAATAAATATCCAAACGATTTTCAAAAGTGTGGGTGTGGTTTGCGGGCGTTATAGTAGGCGTGGAAACATAATTTAACAAACTTGCGCTTCGTCCATGTTTTTGGAAGCTGCATGCCCAATCTCAACATTCTAGCTTTTGTAGTTCCTGAGATCGAGGCGTTCATACGGAGAGGCGGACGGACAGACGGACATGGCCAGTTGGACTCGGCTATTGATCCAGATCAAGAATATATATACATTATAAGGGCGGAAACCTCCATCTACTTCTTACATACTTTTCAACGAATCTAGTATACCCTTTTAAACAGATTTTAAAGGCATGACATGCCAATTAGTATCAAATGTTTCAATGTCACATATGCAATGTATAACACGGATATGCTTGTAAGAAAATTATCAAGAGATGTCGACAATTACGGATTACGAATTACAGCGCTTTTCCGTCTTTTAAGATACTTGTTAATTATGAATGCAGTAGGGATTTTTGCAATTTTCGTTAAATGAATAAAGAGATGTGTGCCCATTTCAGAACTAATGGGACCCTTTAAATGAAATATATTTTGTGACACTTCATTTCCCAGAAATGGAACAGAACAGTTTTCAAAAAAGTATTTCTTAAAAATTCGGTTTTCTAGTAGATCGGTTTTTTAGTTGACAAAAAATTGCTAGGATGAAGCTAACGAAGGATTTACTTCAAGATGGATTGCATGAAGTGAGGAAAACAGTTGGGGAAAGAAGTGACCGATAAATGGAAGTACATAGATTGAATATCGTGCAGATATCGATCGTATGAGTAATTACGTTGCCATTTACCGAGAACATGAGCGGAGTGGGGCCACCTAGGCCCCCAGACCGCCCCCAATCTTTCACTCGTTTCTTTAATGGGTCATTGCACTGTGATCTTCGCCTTCGTCCGCTACGTGGTGACTGTACCTCGACGTCCTTGGCAGAGCGCGGGCGCCAGATCCTGGGGATCCTGGCCCGAGCTCGATGCCTGCTATCTGACTCTTTCTCCAACTGATTGTGAATCATTTGTTAGCTTTTTCGTATTTTTTACAAAGCAACAGTAATGAGAGAGTGCTGGGTACACAGGCAACACACACACAAAACACAGTACTCACCATCAATGAACACCGGAACGTCTATCTCTTCAACTGTGGCAGTAGGCATTGCTCCACTCATATCCCAGCGGGATGGCGGCTCGTCCGCACCTGTCAGCTGGACACCAGCCATGGCTGCCAGGGTCTGTGTCTGAGGCGCGCTCGACGAAACCGGGACCGTTTGGTTCACCATTGCCGTAGTCGGTAAACCTGCCACCGTTTCTGGTTGCGATAGGGATGTTGGCGTCCCAGTTGTGGGGTACGTTGAGATAGGGCACTTCCTCGCCGAATCTTTCTGATTTACTAAAGAACTCGTTGAAGGCGCGGCCTGGTTGGCTGGCGGACGCGTTGGTACCGACCCTGGTAAAAAGAGAATCCTGATGTTGCGAGTTTGAGGCGTTCTGGGCTCTGTCCCGTTGTGATTGTTGTTGCTGCCGCTTCCGCTTGTGGGCACTCTGATTAGCAGAATTCTGGGAGTTGGCTTGCTGTCTATCACGATCGGTATTGTGGTGATCGTTGACGTCGGCGAATTCTTCATAGGCTCCGTTGGCCTCGTTCTCCTTTTGGAGCAGGAGCAGTTGATCCAAGAGACTGGGGAGCCAGTGCCTTGGAAATCCTGGTAAGTAGCGTTGTCCTTCCGGATTGTCTCCTCGAATGTGGGTGCCGCCTGTACTCGTGCTGGCTCCTGGATCGTCAATATTATATCTCTGGGATTTTCGGTAGCCTTCCTCGTCGGCGCTGCTCTGTTGTTTGTTGGACTCGGCGGCGGCACAATGGTTTGGGTTGCTCTTAAGGATGTTGCTGGTGTTGCTCTGGTCTTGGTTGATTGGGATGCTGTTGTTTGATTCACTCTTGGGCCTGGCTTGGCTGGTATGGGCTTCGACGGAGAATGCCATTTTGAACGTGGCTGTTTTGTTTTCCAACAATATCGAAAATTCAATGCGATCGGGGCAGTTTACGGTTTGGTGTACGGTTCGTTTTCAATCGGTTTCGGTTCGACAGGATATCAAAATTTATACGGATTCGTATAATTTTTATCGATTCGGACAGGATTTGGCGATGAGTGGAGCAAGCGCAGTTAAGAGTGTTCGTAATATTTGTTTTCATTTTTATGTGAAAGAAAATAGACAAAAGAAAAAAGATTTTGTTATTACACAGATCGAGGACGGGCAGAAGCGCGATCCTTTTTGAGGAGTTCGCGCCTCCAAATATCTTTGTGGCTTGGATGGGTTAGCAAATGTACAAGTGGTGGTTGTGGGCCTCGGTGTCGCAGGGATCTCGAGGATACGCCTGGCCACCGATTTTCTAGACCATCATGGTTGGCGACTTTCAACAGCTCGGGTGTTTGGTGCTTTGTGTGTCGAGATGGTTAAGAGGGTGGTAATGTGGGTGGTGTTCTTTTCTTGGCCATTTTGTTAGTGTGTTTCCTTTTTTCTTATGCTTTTTTCCATATTTTTTTCCCATTTTCATTCTGTGTATTTTTATAATCTTTTCCTCTTGTTGGTTATTTTGTACATGGATTACTCCTTTTTTTGTTTGCTTTTTTGTTTGGAATTACTCCTTTTTTGAATGGAATTGCTCCTTTTTTGATTGGAATTGCTCCTTTTTTATTGGAATTGCTCCTTTTTTGCATGGAATTACTCCTTTTTTCTTTTTTTTTTTTCTTTTCTTTTCTTTTTTTTTCTTTTGTTTTTTGTCTTTTTCCTTTTTTCATAAAACATTCTTAGAAACTATTGGTGCAAGGACTAAGAAAGTCGGGCAATCATGAGGCATGGCTTAATAATAGCAGGCGAAGGGATGTGGATACTCACTTTTAATTGACCGTTAGAAAGAAACAATGAAATTGTTAGGGTCCCTCTAAACAAGCTCTTAAAGAGTCGTCGACACAAGTTCCCCTTAAGCTGTAAGCAAAGAAATGGAGAACGCAAATTACTTATAGGCCCCACAAGCATTTTGATAGACGGGATTCATTTTTCCCTAAGTACTCTTCAGTTACAGTTCAAGATAAGTTTGTTTTTTCCAACCAAATAAGTAGTTCCTTGTTTGATAAGAGTACCTTTCAAATGTCAGGGCTCTTATAGACGCACGCCCATTTTTTTGGGCGGCTGGTGCTGCGAAAGCTCTTTCTGAATTTCACAACAGCGGTGGCAAAAACAACAATATGGCGGGACCCATCGCAACAGGTCTTCATACAGCAGATGAGTGGTACGAGTGGGGGGTCTAATCAGCAGTTGGTAACTCTTCGACCCGCTCCCCGCTCTCCACTAGTTGTCACTTAGATAATTGAGGCACACGGTCGTGTGGCTATACTATTATCGCGATCAGATATCTGGCGGCCGGTAAAACAACACCAGAAGGCAATTACCTCGAGCGGTGGAAAATTTCCCCGAAAAGCACACGCCAGCTTTGGCAATTACACACTCATGTATAAAAATCTAATACGAATGTCACACAAACATATGTAGCGCCCTATAATTAAATGTTTCCACAAAAATCCCCTACCAGTTTGAAGTTCGATTGTATCTGTATCTGCCTTTTATTCGAGGCCACTGACGTCACAAGTGCACAGTAAGTGATTTAATATGGCGACGTCCAAGTTGAACAACAAAAGCTCCCTATACTAAGTACTACGTGCATATGTATAAGTATGCCTTAGCATATGGAATGCTGATTGCTCTACACTACTTACATAAATTCGGTGAATGTGTCTTCAAGAGCGGTGGTCTGGTTTTTGGAAAACCCGACCGCGAATTCACTTGTCTTTCCTGCTACGCAATAGGTTGGGTGGTTCCTGGCACCACCACTTGGATACGGATTCAAGTCCGTCCGTTGCTGGGATCTGGAGGATTACTCCTTGGGATAGCGACAAAGGTCCACTGTTGTTGTTCCGCGATGAACAACAACTATTGCCAAGTCTTTGCACTGCGTTTCCTTGTGACAGGAACTTGGTTATATGTTGCTTCTAAAAGGCTTGCACTGTATGCGGTTGCGGGTAAAAGTAGAACTTTTTACTGTGTGTGAGTCAACCGACTGCTTGGAGTATTCACTTCGATTTGAACTGCGCGATGCGACGACGGCAACAGGAATCGTACGTTTTGGAATTGCTTGGCACACTGAATTTCATTCGTTGTGAAATTCAAAAAGCACCCCACAAACCAGTTTGCCATAGCCAGATAATTTTCTTATCGGTGTGCGGCAGCGAGCTTTGTGTATCGTTGTATTTCAAATACGCGCACTGTGAGATACGTTGTGTGCAAGCGAGAGGGCGCACAATTTCCCATTTGCCGCCAGATGGCTTGCTTTTGTAAAATTTCCCTGGCATATGGGCTACAAGTTGAGACTCTGTCACAGCCGGCCGGTGTTTTACTTTACAAGTTAAGACTCTTTGTCACAGCCGGCCGGTGTTTTACTTATATTTCAGACTTATATTTAAACATTGCAAAGTACATTTAAGTGAGACTTAATACCCATGAGTTAGCACAAGTTCAACGTCTTTTTTGTTTTGAGCGGGATACCTATTGGCATAGGTACAATATAACAACATAGACAACAATATAGTCTTAGAAACTGAAATGACCTATCACAAAATTATTTCTAATAAATAGTTAGACGTGAAATCTGTAACGTAGGGTGTTTCAATTAAATCATGGGCTATTTGTGACTGTTATATATCTTCTCTTTTTAAATAGACTTCACTTAATTTGATTGATACTTTATTTAATTCGCTTATAGGCAATGTTAATTTCAATCAGCACTTTATTAAAACCAAAAGCTATTTATTGAAACTATAATCTTGTTCTTTGCGTAAAGAACTTTATCTACAGTTGAACAATAATACATAAACCCAAAGCACTGATTTATTGGGTTTTCTATACCATTCATTCATTTGCCAGATTTTGCCCTTTTATAATAATAGACTGTGAACCCCACGACAATGCATAAAACGTTGAGATATGAACTTGGGAAATTTCTATATATTCTTTCTCTTTCTTTTTGTCAAGCTTATTAGCCCACATTGAAACCGAAGAGCTTTCATGCAGTGGTATTAGTCAGCTCTCTTTAAATGTGTGCGCAGATAAAAGCTGTTGAACTCTCGGAATCGAAAAGCTTTCACCTGAGTACAAGTCTACATACTATATACCAGCTTTAACTGATAATTTAGAAACCCATGAGTCATGCTGAGAAACAGAAATCGCCAAAGCGCAAAATGAGCTTCAGCGGTTGGCAAAAACAGTCATCATGTGATATTTGTAATGGGTGTGATCTGCAGACGCAAGTATGTACATATTTGGAGGGGGCATTTTGATTATATGGCCACGTCCGATTATTTTGGCCCCAAGAGCTGAGGAGCTTAAATGCCAGCCCACATAGGCGTGCAAGATTCGTGGAATTTTTCCCCACAGCGGTACGCACACGTTAACTTTCAAACGACAATCTTGCACCGCGCACCGACTGGCACGAGATTTTGGAAGATCGAAGACGTTAACAATGGACGGCCTCAGTTTGCGATCTACCAAATAAATGGCTAACACGTAGCATTCTGTTTAGTCTTTTCACGATGAGTGGGGGTTTTTCGACCCCAAGGAATGGAAATGGAAAGATAGGGCATTTGTATAGATGAAAGCGCCTTCCTTGTTCGATTTGGAAGTCTTATCTAGCACTATTATCTGGAACGTGATCCAATAGCGCGGTAGATGGATATGTATGACTAAGTTTGAAGCGCACCTTTAAAAGAAATTGGGGGCAGTTACAAAAATGTGTTTTCTTTAGTTGTTTTGGCGAGCTCATTCTTTTTTAGGGGTGTCTTAAAATAATTGAATCATTAGTTGTTTACTTATGTATGTTTCCTACCATCATCATTAATAATTTAAATTATTACTAATTAACTAAAAATTTGTGAAATAAATATACGTTCTTAATTTAGAAATGCATGAGGATAATAATTCAAATAGATAGCATTCACACCAATAGATAGAATCAAATTCGGTTGAACAACTTCTCAAAATTATTACTTAAAGCGGCATATGTTCCACGTAACTGAACCACCTTAGCAATACAAAAGTTTGTGCCCTATCAACGGTGTGCGATTACACTGTGCCTAAATAAGCCCTCCTATTTATACTCGACGTGAAGTGTACCCAGTGTCAATGACACTGCCAGCAACAAGGGTCTGGCAACAAATGTTGCGGGCATCGGGAGAGAGGGAAATGTGGCCAGTAGTTGCTTACCCTCCATCATGTTGCTGCCTCGTTGAGCAGGTTCCAATGATGACGGCACAAATATAAACTTGATCCTTGTTGCTCCTTATTTCTGGTGACGTTGACTGACTCGAATCGGCTTCAGCAGAAAGTGCGGCAACTACAGCGACGGCGGTTAAAGTCCCGCTTCTTTCGTAGCGACTTGGAGCGCCTTAGGATCTTAGTGCCCGTGGTGCCACCAGTACCGGTGCCGATCGTGGTGGTCTCTATATTGATCGAATTGTTGCAGAAATACTTGTTGTAATGCCAGCCGCGCATACGCATACACATAAAGTTGTTGAGCATGGGAACCTGCTGCTGCGAATGTTGCACACACATGAAGACAACGACAGGCGAATGTTGCATGACGTTCTTGCGCGACGCGATGTTGGAATATCCGCTTTTCCTCGACACTGCTGTTGCTGTTGCTGTTATTGTTGCACCAACCGCAGGCAGAACGAACATAATATTGGGGCAGAAAGCCTTTAAATGGTGTTTTTGTACAGACAACCACTTGTGCAGCTCGGGCGTATGCTTAATGTACTCGTCAAGTGTAAGTTCACACGCGCTTATCTATATAGCATCTAGATACAACTCTTATCTGAGATACTGTATGTACATATATAGAAATTGTTGTTGCTGTCGGCCAATTTATTGCGTCTCTCGCAAAAGTTTTTCAGGCTGCTAATCACTCTGAACTTTGCACTCAAAGTTGGGTTTTACACGAAAAGAAATTACTGTTCTATGAATAAGAAATCTTTGTAACGACGTTCAGCTGTTGGTGCCATTAAGCTGGGGTTATAAAACACGTATCGAAAATTTCACAAATTCCACGTTGATTTGCACACTGAAAGCTCTGTCTGCCTTGACTCACTGAAAGTTGTTCTGTTCGCGACGAAGTATTGTTACTAACTGACTGAACTGCGAGCACTGGACGGCTGCCGTTGTTCGTGGTTGATATAATTTTGCTGACGTCGTCGCCTGGTTTCCTCCACCGCTTCATACCGTGCATATATGTATGTACCCTTCCCTCAATCTCGGTCCACATCGTACAAGTATATTCACGTCTATTCACATTCACGCGCTCTCAGCTGTTGTGTCTATTTTCTATGGCCGCGCCCCCAAAACATTTCCACGCCGGATCTCTTGCTTTTGGTGATGCGGAGGATGGGCCACTCGGAAATGTGGGCCTCTACTTACTCCAACCCTTAGCTGGTTGAAAGTAGATCAATCCAGCTGGAAAACGTGTAAACATACATACATACATTACTCGCTTTTGACGCATTAGCATCCACTAATTTAAGTTCTGGAGAAAAAAGGTGTGCAAATCCGAATTTTGCATAGACTTTCAAACTGAGGAAAAATATTACATTAAGTTGATATAAAAACCCAATATTTAGAATGAGCTCTATACACACATACTTAAGAAAACAGAATTTATAGACAGTTTGCAAAACGAAGACAGATTATTCATAACTGAATAGCAATTTACTTCCACTGCTCTTATCAAATACAGTTTCAATGGAATGGCTACAATAGATAAGGCGAGCTAAGAAAAGATTATAGCTAGCTATGCACTCAGATAATTTACAAACGTAGGTATTTTGATTGTGTTTGATTGAATTTTTTTGCACCTAATGAATTTTGTGAACCAGCATGTAGGGTTCCTATGATCATTTAGTATTCATAGTTTGTATGTCACCTATGTCCGATCCAAAAGGTGTAGGGCAACTGGCAACAAACAATACAGATTCGCACTCTTTCTCTCCACTCTTTCTCTCTGAAACTCAGATTGGCTGATGCAACACTTGCCACACGTTGCAACAGCTGTTTTAGTCTGGCCCAGCTGATTCGGATTGTTGGCTTGTTGCCAGAGACTGAGAAAATCTCTTGGCAACATGTTGCGGAAAACTTGGAATACTCATAATATTGCTAAACATTTCTATCGTATGTTCTAGAGATTTTTTCATTTCGATGTAGTGCAAAAAAGGGTGTCTGCAACTGTAGCTGCTGCCTGGTTCAAAAAAGCCGGCCGATGATTCATTTGGGGGGTTGTCCACTTACATCAGAGCTTCTGACCCACCATGACACGCGTTACCCGCTGGAAGAAATTGCGCATTTCGACACAGAACATCCTAAGCAAGCAGAACGTTCATTTGTTTGTACAATGTATATGTATAATTTGCGCGCATACAGCATTACACTTTTGCGATTGGTCGTGCCACCCTGACGTGGTTCCATTGGCGACACTGTGCCTGTTTTTATCTTTTCCATGAGGCGAGATAAAATCCGAAGCCGCAATGTGCCAGAGTCATGCAAGCTCTGGATTATTTAAATGCATTTCCATGTCTGTCAAGGAATACAAGCTATTATTTTATGACCAGGTATAATTTACCAAAGCACACAAAATGTTATAACACCACACAGCGAAATATATACTATTAAGATTTTATAAACATAAAATCAGTTTAAATATTAAATGAGTTAACAAAAAATTCAAAAATCATTAAATAAACATTTCTGTCAAACCCTATTTAGCCAATTTTTTCTGTATTACCTTGTGCTATAGTTTTTATACCAATTACACGTAGAGAATTACACGTTAAAGAGTATGCGAGATTTGTTGAAAAGTATGTAACAGGTAGAAGGAAGCGATTGGCCATGTCCCTCTGTATTTATTTATTTATTTCCAATTTCTATCAATATGCCAACAACATTTCGGCCACGCCCAATCTAGCGCTTACAAGTGTATTAATATTTTTTTTATTAGTCTTGTAAATTTCTACCGATATTCCAGGAAATGAAGGAATTTCTAGTTCGCACTTTCACAAGCTGAGTAAGGGGTATCTGATAGTCTCGACTGTATCTATTCTATCTTGTTTTTATAAATCTATGAAAGTTGTGATTTATATTTTTGTCTTACTTCTCTCTGTTCTTTCTGTATTGAATGAATTACAGTCGTCTCAAGACACTTTAGTTTTCCATATCGTGTGCTGACTGTAGTCAAACCGCTCCCGAAGAAAGTCGGGCAATGTGAATGTACGCGCCTAGCGCTCCCGCTGAGCATTTGTTGCGATCGTGTGTTAAAACTGGAACTGGGAATGGAATTGAATGCGTCTTGAACTGAGATAAAGAAACGAGAGACTTTGTGGGTACTTAAAATGGGACTCTCTTGAGCCGGGCTTTAGTACGCTGACGTCGACTGAAGAGTCGCCTTGTTCTTCGGTCTCAACTGTATTTGATTTATACAGCATGCACTTCCTCCATTGGATTGTTCCACTTTTGCTGTTTGGAGGTTGCTCCGCTGGCCCTCAAAATGTGCTGCTGCTCTTGGCTGACGATGCCGGCTTCGAATCAGGCGCCTATCTGAACAAATTCTGCCAAACTCCCAACCTGGACGCACTGGCCAGACGCGGATTGCTGTTCAACAACGCCTTCACTTCGGTGAGCAGTTGTAGTCCCAGTCGCTCGCAGTTGCTCACCGGCCAGGCTGGTCACTCTAGCGGAATGTATGGACTCCATCAGGGCGTTCACAACTTCAATGTTCTGCCGGAGACCGGGTCACTTCCCAACTTAATCCGCGATCAAAGTGGCGGACGGATCTTAAGCGGCATCATTGGCAAGAAACATGTTGGAGCCGCCTCTAATTTCCGTTTCGATTTCGAGCAAACAGAGGAGCAGCATTCAATCAACCAGATTGGCAGAAACATCACCCGGATGAAGGAGTATGTCAGGCAGTTTCTCAAGCAGGCCAAGGACGAGAAGAAACCCTTCTTCCTGATGGTGGGCTTCCATGATCCCCATCGTTGTGGCCACATCACCCCGCAGTTTGGAGAATTCTGTGAGCGTTGGGGCAGCGGTGAGGAGGGTATGGGCAGCATTCCCGACTGGAAGCCCATCTACTACGATTGGCGAAACCTGGAGGTGCCCGCCTGGTTGCCCGACACGGATGTAGTGCGTCAGGAACTGGCCGCTCAGTACATGACCATCTCCAGGCTGGATCAGGGAGTGGCTCTGATGCTGAAGGAGCTGGAAGCAGCCGGTGCGGCAGACCAGACACTCGTGATCTACACCTCCGACAATGGACCACCATTTCCCGGAGGCAGAACCAATCTCTACGAGCATGGCATTCGATCGCCGCTGATCATAAGCTCTGCAAAGAAGGAGGATCGTCGCCATGAAACCACAGCAGCCATGGTTAGTCTTTTGGATATATATCCTAGTGTGCTCGATGCCCTTCAGATTCCACGACCAAATGACACCAAGATCGTTGGGAGGTCGATACTCCCTGTTCTGCGGGAAGAACCTCCCATCAAGGAGAGCGACTCGGTGTTTGGTAGTCACAGTTACCACGAGGTGACCATGGCCTACCCCATGAGAATGGTGCGCAACAGGCGCTATAAGCTGATCCATAACATCAACTACTGGGCAGACTTCCCCATCGACCAGGACTTCTATACCTCCCCAACCTTCCAGCAAATACTGAATGCCACGCTCAACAAGCAATCTCTGCCGTGGTATCGATCGTTGTTGCAGTACTACCAAAGGCCTGAATGGGAGCTGTACGACGTCAAGACGGATCCCTTGGAGCGCTTCAATCTGGCCGAGAAGGCCAAGTACAATGGCACCCTTAAGCAGCTGCGTCAGCAGCTGTTCGACTGGCAGGTGGCCACCAAGGATCCCTGGCGATGTGCTCCGCACGCAGTGCTCCAGGAGCAGGGCATCTTCAAGGATCAGCCAGCCTGTCTGACCTTGGGCCACGAGGCGCTGCAGAGGTCCAGGCGCAGGATCCTCGGCCAGTACGAGGAGTACGTGGTCCTTTCCTAGGTCTGACTAAGTATTCACTAGATTGGCTTTGTTGTCTTATCGCACGTCTAATAAAAGCACCTCAAAGTGCTGATAACTCAACGATACCATGGTTTTTCACTTCAAATGCCTTTACAGTTGCGGTCATAGAAATAGGAATTGCAAAAGGTGGAAATAGGGGCTGTGAGCACCAGAGCTAATTAGAGCACTGTTTGCAATAACAATGGGTATAATAAGTTTCGAACATTTGTTTAGAGGCATTTGCGTTCTTTGAACAAATTTCGAAGTTTACTTTAAAGCAAAACTTGAATTGCTTTTCATAAACAAGCAGGCGAAATATTGCCTTTCCACCTTTCCAATGCCCAAAAACAGCACTCAGAACTGGCAAAGAAGATTGAATTCCCCACCGGCTGGATTGGTTGCATCAGCCCAGACTGGCAAGCACTCGTGTCCTGGCAGCATGACCTCAGCCACTGTGGGTTGGGGGGATGGGCTCCAGGGGGTGGATGCTGCGTCACGTTTCAATGTCATGCCCAGTGGGCCAGTGGGGGAGGGGAGGGGCCTTGGGAGCGGCTCCCACTTCCTCTTCCACTTGCAGCTCGTGTGTCTGTGTGGAAAATCGAAGATTTCAATGCTTCTGCCGTAGTTTATTGGTGGCGCCTCCGGAGCCCCGTATCCCCACCCGTGCGCAGCAGCAGCAGCAGCAGCAGCAGCAGCAGCAGCAGCAGCAGCAGCAGCAGCAGCAGCAGCAGCAGCAGCAGCAGCAGCAGCAGCAGAGCAGCAGAGCAGCATCCGAGTCAGTGTTACACAACAGGCAGCACGTTTTAAGGTCAGCAGGCAAATATCAAAGAGTAAAGGACGGTTGCTTGTGTTTTCTCAGTTATGACTTTGAACGAAAGACACATTAAAAATTAAATTTTATTAATTTTGGTTTGCATAAATTAGGGTCTTCAGTTTTAGCGTAGTTATTATTATATGTATATGGTTTATAATGTATATTATTCAAGTTACCGCCCACACAAATGCAAAATTACAATAATTATTGTTTGAAGTTCGGCCCGTCCAGTGGGGCAAGTGTGTGTGCATGGAAAGATAGTCTCCAGGCGATGCTGAGGATCCCCAGATGGGGTCCTCTGGAAATGTTCGCACTGGCAGTCTGTCCGTCCACGAGGCAAATGTTTCATCTTCGCACTCAAATATAATTCTGTTAAATGGTTTTTTTTTTTGGCATTTAACAAATTTATTATCAACACAAGTTGCATGGGTTTCAATTCAGTGTTTTCTTTATACGTAAATATATCTTGTGTATATCTTTCCTAAACGTATATACATTCGTATATCGTGCATAGCTGTTTCCGTTGTATGCCAACATGAGACTATTTTAATCATTTTATTGGTTTGCCGTCGAAAATGTATTATTTTGCTTCGGGTTTCTCGTTAAATATATAAATATTTGATCTAGAGTTGCGGTTGGTAAACGCGTTAGTAGGTTTGTAAGTGTTGCTATGCTTCGATTGACTTGACTGGATTTTGCTTACGTTTAAAGTTATTATTATCAACATTTTTCTGGAAATCGTATTTAACTAGTATTATGCTTGTTGGTATTGTTTAGGAGGATTCTGTTACATTTACTTGCCGCTAGTACTGTTTATCTGTTATCATCGTTTAAATATTCTTTATATTGTTTACGTTGCTGCTCAGTATAATTTATAATAAATACATAATAATAAATATACATGTAGATAATACGCTTAATAAATATATTTATACATATATTTGATTTCATTTAATATATATATAGTTGTTATGTATATAATAACAAAAAAACAACACACATAAAAAGGAGCAAAAAGTAGGATACAAATTTGGTTTGTTTCATCCTTGAAAAATTGAATTATTCTTTACATTGAACAACGAACATCAAGAACGGTATTCCGTATGCCTTTTAGAATAGAGTGTGGGGAGTATTGTTTTTGCACAAATATACGTAGGTAGAGTAGGTATAGGTATTTCGGGTATATAATAAATATATGTGGGCGTATGATGTGGATACGTAGCGTTAGCCTATAAAGGGACTTTGCATAGATAGCGCATTGGCGTAGGTAGGTTTAAATTACAACGATGAGACCGGATAAAAGTCGAAGACTGGAGGTAAGAACAACTCAGGTGGAAGGAGAAAAAAGACGCGCTTCCGTGGGTGATAAAGATTACGGGTAATTTAGTTAGTTAGCTAGAGTGTTTTGCTTGCTTTTGCCGCCGGCCAACAGTTCTAATACGTGATCTATTGTGTGAAGTAGCACTAAAAGTTCGCACTTGCAACGAACAACAACGCTGACGCTTGAGAATCAAAAGTAAAAACGCAAGGAAGTGGCATTGCGCGCGTAACATCTTGTAAATTTAATTAGTTAATACGTACATTAATTTAACTCGTAGTTAATTTGTTAATTATTGTGTTGCCAACTGGTATAATTTTGCACATAAAATTTAGTTAGCTTGCTCTATGGCCACCATGAATTTAGCCTGCTGTGTGCTAGCTAAGCCGTATCGTAATATCCGTAATCGTAGTAACCCGCTCATCTAATTCAACTATATATATATTTGCATTTATGTGCTTCTGCTTCTGCTGCTGCCGCTGCTGTTTCTGCTTCTGCATCGGCTTCGGCTGCCCAATTTCGCGCCTCTAGTGGCGAAACCAACATTAAGGTTATTGTTCTCCAATCAGCGATCTACGTACGTCTTCAGCCAGTTTGATAGGTTGGGATAGGTTTAGGGGATGGGATTGCGGGATCAGGATCAATACGAGGAACAGGAACAGCCTAGTTGCCATTGGGCAGGGGCACCTGCACCTGAACGTAGGACTGCGGGAAGTAGCCAGTGCGGCCATTCACCGCGCCCTCAAACCAATTGTCGTCCACGCGATTCAACAGGGTGATGATGTCGTTCTCCTTGAAGGCCAGTTCGCCGGGATTCTCCGGTTCGAAGTCGTAGAGGGCCTGGCAGCAGGGCTGCTGCTGGCGCTGCGGCGTTACGGCCATCGACTTGGCGGGCGAGCGCATCGGCGAGGGCAACGGCGAGGCGCTCGAACTAATGTGAGACGGCGTGCCATCTTCGTTGAGGCCGCCGCCACCGCCGTCCAAGTTCAGATCGAGCAGCGTCTTGGGCACGAACTCGTTGCGTGGCCGGCTCTCCGCCTCGGAGCGCTTCTCCTGCAGTGTCTCCTGCAGGCCTCGAAGGACATCCGCGCACTGCGAATGAAAATCGTATAGTGCCTCGGCAAAGGTGACCAGCTGGGAGACGTGCTCCGTATCGTTCTCGAGCAGATTGAACATGCCCACCTGGGCCAGCTGAAGCGATTCACCGAACTTGTCCTCGGCACCACGAATCTCATCGTCCTTGGCCTGCCGGCGACGCTTGCAGTCGAAGTCAAGCCGCCGGCCCTGCAGCTTCTTGCGATGATGCATTACCTCCTTGAGGTCTTTGGTCTGCATATGATGCAGTGGCTCCAAAAAGTTCTGCTTGATGTTGTCGTCCAGCGAATACTTGACGTCGGCCATCTGTTTCAGCGCTTCGCCGAATTCGACGAGCGCCTGCGCGAACACGCTGTTGTCCTCGCCGAGCTTCTTCCCATAAGTCAGCATGCATTCCGCGAGCAGGCCCTCCGGTTGCGGATACGTATTGGACTTGGCCTGTCCGGACAGCTTCGAGATGCCCTTGACCGCTGCCATTTTTGCCCGTGCCGTCGGATTCGGCTGCAGGAACTCCTTCGTCTTCAGCTGCAGCTCCTCCACCAGCTCCACGGTGACGTCCGTCTTGCGCTCCATCTCCATGAAGTCCATGTCCAGTTTGGTGCCCTCGGCACCGCCCATCTTCTCCGTCATGTACTGGTTGGCCTTGTTGATCTGCTTTTTGAGTCCGGCGAAAGCCATGGCTGCTGCTGTCTCTTCTGGTTTTCCTCTGGTTAAATTGGGCTGGGGCGCTCGACGCAGTTGCTGTGAACGGGTTGGTTGGGTTAGTCGAGACTCGATTTCAAATTCAATGTCAATATCATCAAATCAACAATTTCATCAATGGACTCAATGGATGGCTGGATGGCTGGCTGAGTGTGTCTATTTTTAAAACGTTTACGTTTGGAAGACTTACGCGGACTGCACTTTTCTCCGTTCCTTCTCCGCTGGGGGTGCTACTTTTCTATTTTCCTCAGCTGCTCAGGGGAGGCTGCGAGTCGGGAAACTCGGATTGGCTTGGAGAACTGTAGCCCGAGTTCGAGTTCGAGTTCTACTTTTGCTGACTGCGGGCACTTTCACTCGCTTCGCTTGCTCTGCACGTTCTGCCTCTTTTTTGTTGCTCTGCTCGTAATCTTCGATTTTTTCCAGAACCTTGGGCTGCGTAATGTTTGAAGGACCGTGAGTCGTTACTACTACTACTAGTCGCGCGCAGGGGGCGGGGGTTCTGGGGTCGCGTTTTCCTCTCGGCTCGCAAAAATCAATATCTTGACTGTGTACAACAATTTTCAACGGCACTAAGCCACTAGAGCTGAGGGACTATCGATAGTCCAGTGCCAGAAGCTCAGTGTGGCCGGTTTTGCGTAAAATACCATACTCTTTCCAGTGCATTAACAGACATACACTGCATACGCCCATCTCTGGGGCTATGTTAAGGCTGCTATGCTGAACTTAACATTTTATTTCATTTTAGCTGTATGTTAGTCACTGTATGTTAGCTGTATGTTCAGTCACTGTAAGGAGTATCTTAACAATATTTTTTAAAAATAATATATAAATCATAAAAGTATTACATGCATGTAATTTAAAAAAGGCCTATGAATCATATAATTTATTACATTTATGCAATGGTTTTCCATAATTATTTTTATTATACTTAATACCTAATATTTACAATGTAAATGCAATATAAAATTTAAATTTGAAATCAATGTTAACAGCACATAGCAGAATTAACGATGCCGGTATCGATGTTTTGACTAACGTCATTCTGTCATCGAACGGCTGTTAATATTACAGCAGGAATGGTATACAGTTTGGCGCTCAAAATCGTAACATTTAATCATTCAATTTTTTTTTATAGAAAAGCGACTCAACAAAAATAAGGCTGTACAGTCATAATTACAAATTTATGTTACTTTAAGATAAAAAGTGAATGACTCAGAAAGAAACAGAAAATAACATATTACTGTTTACCACTTTGTGCAAAATAACCAGTAGCACAGCCATCAATTTAATCTTTCCAGAAGGTGGCAAATATATTCCCCGGGAAAGGTCTAGATAAACCCTGTTTGCATTGTAAAAAGCGGTGACGTCAACAGCATGAAGTAGCGATTTTCCCACATTCCTTCATATAGGCTTTATCTAAATAGATAAGCCCCAAGAGGTACTTAACACCCCTGAGCACACAATGAACATGTAAATCAGTTCAATCGCTGTAGAAATAGCTAAGATATCAGAGATAAGATCGTCTTGTCGTGTTTTTAATGGCGTATAAAAGCCGCGAACCGTAGTGCTTTTGGCAATTAGTCTCGACCCAACCCAACGACTGAGAACCAACTGAACTCAGATAAAATAAAAGAAATGAAATTCGCAATTGTTCTACTGGCGGCCAGCATTGCCTGCATCAGCGCACAGGTGAGGAGTTATGGCCCACCCCCTATTAAGTGGATTATTATGTAACCGAATTATCATAATTTACTCAAAGGGCCCTGCGGCTCCTGCTGGAAATCCCCTTGCCGGAAATCCCTTTGCCGCTGCCAATCCGTATGCGGCTGCCTTTAATCCCTTCCTAAATGGAATTTTCGGAGGAGCTGGCACTGGAGCTGCTGCCGGAGTAGCCGCTCCGGTGGCTCCATCTGCCCCCTTTGGAGGCGCCTCGGTTTCCTCCTTCTTCCAGTCGATAGTCCTGCAACGTGAAGCCGAGCGCCTGCTTTCCCAGCCTGACTTCCCCACCGACCTGGCGGAGCGCGTCCAGGATGTGGTGGCCACCTCGCAGGAGTCGATCAGTGGTTGCGACAACACCACTTTGCCCTGGCTGCAGATCCGCTGTGTCAAGCCTCTGCTGACCACTGCCAAGAACCAGCTGAAGGCCATCGATGACGAGTGGCAGGCACGTTTGGCCGCCATCGCCAGTCCCGCCGGAGCAGCTCCTGCCTAGGATCCCAGTCCTGTGCTTCCGCTGCCTTAGTGTCCAATACTTCCTAGCTTCCTAGCCTAGCAATCGACCAAAATAGATGCAATACAATTTAAATAAGCTTAATGCCGGAATTTCTTAGGGGGGTTTGTGGGGTGGAAAGTTGGGGCCAAAGGACTCCTGACCTAGGACATGCTTTGATGTGGCCGGCCGAGCTTTGCATTCCGCTGCTTTATTAAATTTCCCATCGGGAATTACAAATTTTGGCGTTGCCTTCTTGACGCTTTTCGGGGCGCAAATACTTGGCTGCTCACGTCACCATCACGAAAGTCCTGGTTCCGTCGCATCGACCTCGACTAAAAGGATGCTTATGCTTTGGAAAGGCAGTGTTGTCGTCATGGGGAGAACCAGCTAAATATGTTATATACTAGTCAAAGCTTAAATAAAAAATTAGCTTTATATATCCTTTTGATATATCCTTTTGGATTTTTAAGGGTTTTATATTTTTCTCTCGACTTTTTCGGGTATTCAAGTTAAAAAAAACTAATTTGTGCAATTTCTATAAATATTAATAAGAAGTTATGATTACAAATAGTTTAAAACGATAAAACAACAAATTGTTTTTTACATTACATTATTTTATAATGTAGGAATTAATTAGATATCTTCAACTGCTTAAACTGCTTTATATAAGTGTAGGTTTTAAAATTACAATACAGGCAAAACAAGAATTATAATCTAGTAATAAATGAAGCTAAAATCATACTGTATTATTAAAAAATATTAGTAACAAAGTGAACCAAATTTCACCAAAAATATTGGCTAAGACGTCATCACCCCGACGCACACTTGAGCCGTTTTGGCCATCGCTGGAACTTGACGCATTTTGGCCAAATATTTGCACTGAGTTCCTTTGCTTTAGCTGCGGGCTTTGTTTCCCTGACCTCGCTGAACTCCCTGACCCACCCCGTTTTTGGGGGTCATGACAGCCCTTTTATGCACTCATCAATTGGCACTGCCAATTGTTTCCAGTGCATGATTTGCTTCTCAATTGGAGACCCTTTAAGTTGAGGGTCGGGAGTCAGCTCGCTTGAGTGGCGTTCAGTTGCGGCGGCAATGTTGATTTATGTGCCAGTGCAGCTCCAATTATCCAATGTCCTCACTCAAATTGCCGGCCGTCCTGCCTTTCGACTGCATTCAATTCGATGTGAATCGATTCGATTGGATATGGCTTTTGGATTTGGGTTTGGATTTGCATTTGAATTCGAATTCCGGGCTTAGGACCTGTGGTTATTAAATGGCTTGGCTTAACGAGCCTAAGACCGGCCACAAATGACCAAATGGTCATTGGATGTCGGATGTTGGATGCTGGATGTTGGATAAGCCACGAACAAAGCCTGAATGGGCGAGTTTGAATTGGGATTGAAATATGTAATTAAATGCAAATTTCTAACATACACAACACCCGCCACTTCACAAGATGGGGAGTGAAAAGTTTGGGGCCAATTAATGGAAGTACAAGTATTTCGGAATTGAAACTCGAGTTTGTTCGGCGTCAGTACAACAACGCGGCCGAAACTTGGCCAACTTTCGTGTAGTGTTAGCCGCGAACTCATCGACCAACCCTCCTAAACTGAACCTCAACCGAATGAACCGCCTTAAGCTCTGTTTTGGTAATGCAAAAGTTGCGGCATTTGAAATTCAGGCGGCAGCAAAAAATGGTAATTCCGTGCACAGAATGAAATCCAGCCGCAACTGCCCAACTAAGAGTTCATATAAATCCGAAATTGGTTAGAGCAAAAAATTAAAAATAAAAGCAAAATGCGACACACACGCTCCCTTCGGAAAGTGCATGCATGGAAATTTGTTTTCGGTTTGCGTTGCGGCTTTTGTTTTGATGCAAAAGTTGTGTGCCCCCAAAAGTAGGCAACAACATTGCTGCGGCTTTGGACTGTGTCAAAGTTCGTTAGTTCGTTTGTTATTTGACGATATTGTGGGTCGCAAAAATTAGTGCACAACTAAATCCGTTCTCGGCCAAAGTTCCAATCGAATAGCGAATCACCCACTAACTATATGGTGTTTATCCGCAGTTTGCTATTAGCACTTGCTTCTGTTATTTGATCTCCGAGTCCCACTTCCGCTGATAAAGTTATCTAATTAATCCCGAAGATATACGGTTATGGACCAACATAAAACATAATGGGGTTGAGGCTATCGTTTCGTATTGCACTCAGATAGATGGAGAGATAGAGCGGACTGTAAACTCTATCACAGCGCAAACAGCAGATAAGTTTGGATGCCTTTGGAGTCTTTTAAATTGTGCTTCAGTCGGCCATTGAAAGTTTCCAGAAAATGTCGCGTGCAGTGTTGATAACTTTCTGCGTCTTGGTTGTTTTGGTAAATGAAAATAAAACTAAAAATTCTTCAAAAATAACAAGTTTGTATATATGATCCCAATAGACCGCACAATCGCTCGGCCAAAATGTGACCTTGCAACAGTCAATTGACTGGGCCAATGAGGAGTTCAAAATCGCTCAAGTTGTTGCCCAAGGAAAGCTACCCAACAACGCTGAGGCCCAGAACGATGCCAAGGAGCAACTGGACACTTTGAAACTGGCTTTGTCCCATTGCGAAGCTGAGCTCAAGTCCACCCTAAGTGTCGATCTTCACAAGACTTGTGTTAAAGCCGTGTTTGCTGGCTTTTATACTGCTTTGGATCGCTTGGCCGCGGAGCATTGGCCCATCTATGGAGCCACCTCGGGAGCTTCTCGAATTGGCCTCTTCTGCTAATCAAAAGCATACAAATAAATCAGCTTAAAAAATCTAACCCCAGATCATTTAGAAACTATATTAAGTGCTGCTGACGAAATGTTTACGATCTTATACTGTTCGTAAGGTAATTTGTTTCTGAAAACTATAGTTTTCGGATTATTAAAAAGGTAATAGAGTGGATTTTTGTTGTAGTCTTGTTGGTTATTTAAGGCATTATATTTGCCTTAGTAACAAGATGCCTAGAAATGTACTGCCAATGACAGTCCTTTATTTGAACTGCCTTCTACAGAGAATTACAAAATTTTAGTGTACAATGGGTTGGCTGTCAACCACTTTTGGTATTATTTTGCTAACACTTTTGTTTACAATATGGATATCAGCACATCCGCGATGGGATCAAGTGGCCAAAGAAGTGGCCTCCAAGATGAACTACAACGAGCCGGATAGAATCCAGAAGGCCACGAAGGCGGCCAAGAAAGCGGAAACGAAGATCTACGACTTCTATGTCCGCAAGCTGGAGAACCAGAAGAAGGTTGCGGCCCGTGAAATATTGGACAATGCGTACTTTGAAACGGTCCATTGCATCAAGACATTCTACGAAGGTGGGATGGAGCTGCAGTTCAACGACTGCATGCAGCATGTCATCGATCTGCACATAGGCAGGCTAAAGTCACTCCTTCAAATTACCACTGAGCGATATTCCAGCGGAGCAAGCAGACTTAACATCTGGCACTGGTGATACCCTGGAGTCTTCCCAGGACCGCTGGCAGGCATCAAGTCTGCTTTCTTCGCGCCTTGCGCCCTCTGATGTACTTTAATTAGACAGTCAACTCGAGAGCCGTCAGTGCAGCTTTTCATCTCATTCTGGGCGGGTCTGATTTCGCTGGGTATTTGGCGGGGATGGCACTCTAGTGCTCATTAGGCAAATGCGTGGAGGTCTAGGGAGGTGGCTGTTTCGTAATTATAATCATTAGACGCGGGACAAAACCCTCACAAAGCAAATAGCGACATTAGCTGCGCGGAAATGTGTGTCAATGAAGATGAATCTGCCCGAGACGCCAGAGAGTTGAACCCTGCGACTGGCGTTGTGGATTTTGCAACGCTGGAGAGCTCTTCTTCGTGCCAGCTCGAAATTACTAGAGTTTTAGCAAAGACACTAGAATAACAGGATGCGTAACGGCCATACATTGGTTTTGCACTATGCAGCCACTTTTTTGGTGGCGGCAGTAATTGGTCTCTTGTTTAGGAAACATATTTTCTTGTAGCCCTATAAAAAAGGATGAAAAAACAGGACAGATTTTTTTAGGATTATTATTTATTTAGTTAACTTTTAATTTAATATTTTAAATGTTTCGTCCACGATGCATTCGTCCTCAACGTTTGATTCATACGTTGCCATTGTGCCAATGCGTTTCAAATACGATTCGGGCATTTTATAGGTGTTTCCTGGTTTCCTGGCGACACACTTCATCGGACTTAACAGGCAAAAAGGTTATTTTATTTACTTGAGCAAGAAACATGAAGTTAATAAGAAACTTTTATATTTTTATTGTGGGGAAAAAAACAAATTTTATTAAAAAAAAAATATATATCGAAAATATCAAATATGTCGATTTTTTTATGATATTTTAAATATTATCATAATTTTTTTTGATAAAAAAATATTATCGATACGAAATTTTTTTAATATCACGACATCCCTACTCTAAATTAAAAGACATGCCTTACAGTCTTCACTAGAACTAGTTGGAAATTATAGGGCTACAAGAAAATATGTTTCCTAAACAAATATTAAAAGCGGCAATAGCTACAAACATATGTGTTCCAACAGTAAGTTAAACATTCTTCAGGCTTTATTTAAGACAATTTTTACACTCACTTTAAAGACCTCACTATTTCACTTACTAATATAATTATGACAAAATAATAGATTATTATTTAATTACTTACAGCTCGAGATTAATAAACAAGAATTGTATATTATATTTTAAATATTTTTTATGAATAAATATTTTAAAATAAATATAACATTTCAAACACTTGTATGAATAACATTTGCCTGGTTATTTGCTCAAGAGGGATGCCAATGTGATCTTGCAAGTAATCACACTTAAGAATAAATACACTACACTCACTGCTCGACCAGTAAGAAAGATTACTTGAGATATTTTTTGTGACTCTAAATTAGAAGACATGCCTTACAGCCTTCACTAGAACTAGTTGGGATTATAGGATTAGGGCACACAAAAAATCTACAATTTGCAATAAATATTTACACTTTGTGGGCAAAATTGAAAGATTTTTCGGTTTGAATTACCAGGCGAACAGGAATTCCAGAAGGTGACCAACGATCGTTTGGTTTTCAGTAGCAACATGCTGCTGATTATGATCGCCTGGTAATTCAATCCGAAAAATCTATAATTTGCCAAAGAAATTAACATTTTGCAGGCAAAATTGTGAGATTTTTCGGTTTAAATTACCAGGCGAACAGGAAATTCCTGAAGGTGACCAACGATCGTTTGGTTTTCGGTAGCAACTTGCTGCTGATTATGATCGCCTGGTAATTCAGTCCGAAAAATCTACAATTTGCCAAAAAAAAATTAACATTTTGTAGGCAAAATTGTGAGATTTTTCGGTTTAAATTATTTTGAGATCATAATTTCAAACACTTGTATAAATAACACTTACCTGGTTATTTGTTCAAGAGGGATGCCAATGTGATCTTGCAAGTAATCAGGAACGCATACACTACTACACACACTACGCATACACTACATTCACTGCTCGACCGGTAAGAAAGATGACTTGGAATATTTTGTGACTCTAAATTAGAAGACATGCCTTACAGCCCTCACGAGAACCAGTTGGGAATTATAGGGCTATGGACACGAAAAATCTACAATTTGCAAAAAAAATATTTACACTTTGTGGGCAAAATTGAAAGATTTTTCGGTTTAAATTACCAGGCGAACAGGAATTCCAGAAGGTGACCAACGATCGTTTGGTTTTTTGTATGTATGTATGTATGTATGTATGTATGTATGTATGTATGTATGTATGTATGTATGTATGTATGTATGTATGTATCTATGTATGTATGTAAGTTGTGTAACTCTACAATTTGCCATAAATATTTACATTTTGGAGACAACATTGTGAGATTTTTCGGTTTAACTTACCAGGCGCACAGGAATTCCAGAAGGTGACCAACGATCGTTTGGTTTTCGGTAGCAACCTGATGCTGATTATGACCAAACACACCTATGTACATACATACATACATACATACATATATACATACATACATAAATACATACATACATACACACATACATACATACATACATATACATAAATACATACATACATACATACATACATACATACATACATACATACATACATACATACATACATACATACATACATACATACATACATACATACATACATATATATATACATACATACATGCCCACAAAATGTAAATATTTATGGTAAATTGTAGATTTTTCGGATTGAATTACCAGGCGATCATAATCAGCAGCAGGTTGCTACCGAAAACCAAACGATCGTTGGTCACCTTCTGGAATTCCTGTGCGCCTGGTAATTCAAACCGAAAAATCTACTATTTACCATAAATATTTACATTTTATGGGCATGTATGTATGTATGTATTGTGTGTATGTATGTATGTATGTATGTATGTATGTATGTATGTATGTATGTATGTATGTATGTATGTATGTATGCATGTATGTATGTATGTATGTATGTATGTATGCATGTATGCATGTATGCATGTATGTATGTATGTATGTATGTATGTAAGTTGTGTAACTCTACAATTTGCCATAAATATTTACATTTTGGAGACAAAATTGTGAGATTTTTCGGTTTAAATTACCAGGCGCACAGGAATTCCAGAAGGTGACCAACGATCGTTTGGTTTTCGGTAGCAACCTGCTGCTGATTATGATCGCCTGGTAATTCAATCCGAAAAATCTATAATTTGCCAAAGAAATTAACATTTTGCAGGCAAAATTGTGAGATTTTTCGGTTTAAATTACCAGGCGAACAGGAAATTCCTGAAGGTGACCAACGATCGTTTGGTTTTCGGTAGCAACTTGCTGCTGATTATGATCGCCTGGTAATTCAGTCCGAAAAATCTACAATTTGCCAAAAAAAAATTAACATTTTGTGGGCATGTATGTATGTATATATATATGTATGTATGTATGTATGTATGTATGTACGTATGTATGTACGTACGTATGTACAGCAGTTTGCTATCGAAAACCAAACGATCGTTGGTCACCTTCTGGAATTCCTGTTCGCCTGGTAATTTAAACCGAAAAATCTCACAATTTTGCCTAGAAAATGTAAATATTTATGGCAAATTGTAGATTTTTCGAATTGAATTACCAGGCGATCATAATCAGCAGCAGGTTGCTACCGAAAACCAAACGATCGTTGGTCACCTTCTGGAATTCCTGTTCGCCTGGTAATTTAAACCGAAAAATCTTTTAATTTTGCCCACAAAGTGTAAATATTTTTTTTGCAAATTGTAGATTTTTCGTGTCCATAGCCCTATAATTCCCAACTGGTTCTCGTGAGGGCTGTAAGGCATGTCTTCTAATTTAGAGTCACAAAATATTCCAAGTCATCTTTCTTACCGGTCGAGCAGTGAATGTAGTGTATGTGTAGTAGTGTATGCGTTCTTGATTACTTGCAAGATCACATTGGCATCCCTCTTGAACAAATAACCAGGTAAGTGTTATTTATACAAGTGTTTGAAATTATGATCGCCTAATAATTTAAACCGAAAAATCTCACAATTTTGCCTGCAAAATGTTAATTTCTTTGGCAAATTATAGATTTTTCGGATTGAATTACCAGGCGATCATAATCAGCAGCAGGTTGCTACCGAAAACCAAACGATCGTTGGTCACCTTCTGGAATTCCTGTTTAGTCTTAAGTGTGATTACTTGCAAGATCACATTGGCATCCCTCTTGAACAAATAACCAGGCAAATGTTATTCATACAAGTGTTTGAAATGTTATAATATTTATTTTTAAATATTTATTCATAAAAAATATTTAAAATATAATATATAATTCTAGTTCATTAATCTCGAGCTGTAAGTAATTAAATAATAATCTATTATTTTGTCATAATTATATTAGTAAGTGAAATAGTGAGGTCTTTAAAGTGAGTGTAAAAATTGTCTTAAATAAAGCCTGAAGAATGTTTAACTTACTGTTGGAACACATATGTTTGTAGCTATTGCCGCTTTTAATATTTGTTTAGGAAACATATTTTCTTGTAGCCCTACAATTCCCAACTAGTTCTGGTGAAGACTGTAAGGCATGTCTTCTAATTTAGAGTCGCAAAATAGTTCAAGTAATCTCCCTTACCGGTCGAGCAGTGAGTGTAGTGTATGTGTTCTTAAGTGTGATTACTTGCAAGATCACATTGGCATCCCTCTTGAACAAAAATTCGAGAGAGCCTTGAGTTAACTCTAGAGCCAGCCCGAAAAAATCGTGTGCAAAAAAATCGCATCTTATTATTCTAATGTCTTTGGTTTTAGGTCAGGGGGACTAATGAGAATGCAATGAGCGAGTGGCAAAATGCACGCATATTTCCATTCACAAGTTCAATCATTTGCTCTGATTTAATTGCGTTCTGGAGGGTGTCGCTGAACACATTGGGTAATGGACGTCAGCATTAAGTGGTGCAGCCTAATTGTTTGAAAATGAATCGCATGACCTATTTGTACTCTGATATATAAGAAATGTATATCAAGCAACAATCTTCACCTAGTCTTTTGAAATTAGCATTTT